AAAACATCGAATCATCTGTATCAAATTTCACGACAATCCTGGGAATACTCCTCGATTCAAGGAAAAACGAAATTTTATTTAATTTTTTTAATTTTTTTTTCATCTGTATCAAATTTCACGACAATCCTGGGAATACTCCTCGATTCAAGGAAAAACGAAATTTTTAGAAACTTCGTGGTTAGGCACTATTGGTATCGGAACAGGACCCTATTAGCGTGTCTGTTCATTACTTGCCGTTTCTACTTACAACTTAATCGTGACAGATTCGTCACGAAATACACCTTCGTTCATATAATAACTATTAAGACACCCGGTCTATATATAGAGAAAATGTAACGATGTAAAAATGATATATTCTGGACAGCATTTATTATGTTCTACTTCAACAAATGATATCCACCTTTAAGCCCTCCTCCCTCAAAACATATTCATTCAAAACTTTCAATAATTTATACAGTTTCCCAATGTTTCGCAAGCATTGCAGCTAGCTTCATCAGGGGGTCGAAAGACCCAGGCATTATACGGACAGGTTCCCAGGTGCAACATTGACTTTTTTAATAAAGTTTAGCACATCGATAGACCTTGGAATTCTCAAGTCAATGATGTTTATTTCAGTTACCTCCGGCCATTATTTTACGAAATATTTCATGTTCAGTGCCAAGAAGTCTTCGAGCACTCATCAAGGATTGCCTGTACTTATTACAATTCACTTCATATTTAATGAATGCTCTCGATATTTCTGGACGGGAGTGTACCTATTGTACTGCCCTTGTTTCCAACGCGTCGGTAGGCAGGAATAATAATTGTTACCCATGGTTAAAGTCTTGCTGGAGGAGCCCCAAGGCTTCCCTCCGTCTGCAAGTCATATTTCCGTCACGTGACCGTTACGAGCGCGTCGATTCGGTTCCAGGCGTGTTGCTTCGGAACTGTTCCCAGCGGACTCAGCCGGCAGCAGCAGCAGCACGTGTTGCTTCGTGGCTACCATGTGTGCGTGGCTCCCTGGGATCTCTGATCTCTCGTGGAAAGCACGTTCTCGGGCACCCACCAACGAAATATCTCAGCGGGTGACGAGAGAGACGCGTAAACGCATGCGTATATAGTATATACATACGTAGACGCGTTCCTCCTGCCCCGTGGGGCTTAGCGTGGGCCCGAGACCTTGTCTATTTATAGATGCGCGCGCACGTGATACGAGCCGCGACGCGACTACACGCTGCTCGCGCCACAACGCAGGTACAGACACTACCGCACCACCACTCATAAGTATTAGGACATCTGGTCTGTAACAGAAAAAGAAGTGTGATATTTCGGAAAAATTATGTACAGTAAATCCTTGATGAGTGCTCGACGGCTCCTCCGCATTGACAGGGAGATGTCACCAGGTGTAACGCTGGCCTTTTAATGATGTTTAACAGGACATCTGGTCTGTATCGAAAAAAGAAGGGTGATATTTCGGAAAAATTATGTACAGTAAATCCTTGATGAGTGCTCGACGGTTCCTCCGCATTGACAAGGAGATGTCACCGGGTGTAACGCTGGCCTTTTAATGATGTTTAACAGGACATCTGGTCTGTATCGAAAAAAGAAGGGTGATATTTCGGAAAAATTATGTACAGTAAATCCTTGATGAGTGCTCGACGGTTCCTCCGCATTGACAAGGAGATGTCACCGGGTGTAACGCTGGCCTTTTAATGATGTTTAACAGGACATCTGGTCTGTATCGAAAAAAGAAGGGTGATATTTCGGAAAAATTATGTACAGTAAATCCTTGATCAGTGCTCGACGGTTCCTCCGCATTGACAAGGAAATGTCACCAGGTGTAACGCTGGCCTTTTAATGATGTTTAACAGGACATCTGGTCTGTAACGAAAAAAGAAGGGCGATATTTCGGAAAAATTATGTACAGTAAATCCTTGATGAGTGCTCGACGGCTCCTCCGCATTGACAAGGAGATGTCACCAGGTGTAACGCTTGCCTTTTAATGATGTTTAATAGAGTTTGAAATTCTGAAAGCAACGATAATTGTTTCAGAGGTATATGGCCATTAGTTTATGAAATATTCAATGTTCAGTGCCGAGGAGCCTTCATCGAGGATTTCCTATACATCGTACGCCACTTTCATTACTTTATTATACAGCACAAACAGTGTCCATCGTGGTTCAATTATCCTCTGTAATAAAATTTGAGCCGTTCGGAGACCAAAGTGAGTAACTCCACTTTTTGAATTTTTTCAGAATTTAGGCAGAACAAAATTCAGACCTTTAAATCGTTATTTTAAAATTACATAATTTAATATTTATTTTAAAGTCGAAAGATGGATATCGAACAGACCTAAGTTTTTTGCACCTTATTTTATTTTTTTTTTTTTTATTTTTGGAGGGAGAACTTTAATTTGTCAATTGAAAACTTGGAGATCTACTTCGCTGCCTAAAACTAATATTTATTTAGATAAACAGGAATCCTTCCAAGGTCATCTTGAAGGTCGTTTTAAGGTGATCGACGTTTTTTTTTAATATCGTGTGTATTGTTGTACTAATTGTTGGAGATAGAACTGTGAGTAAGATTGAGCAAAAGTCGTATTGAGACCTTGGGTATATATTGTTCCGATGATTCATGCCGCGAGAACCATAAGAAGCGTACGTACAAACGGTAGGGAATATTCGAGGCCTACGTACACTCCCGTTCATAAATACTAGGACACTCGTTGGATATGCAGTAAATATTACAAATTATTACGAAATTGTTGAAAGTCTTAAATGAATATTGCTTGAGGGATACTAACCGCAAATGCTACTGTGGAGTAATAAGCGTCACCTGAAATATATAATTTTTACGAAAAATTTTCTTCATGTAGTGTTCTTTATGTGTTACTGTACAGATTGCTGTATATCGATTCTGTTCGCCCATGTTCGTATATTGAAGCGTGCCGTAAATCGACACGCCTCAATTATGCCGCTAAGTAATTCCAGACTTCGTTGCAAGGCTGTGCCTCCTAGTGCACGAGTTATCCAATATAGATTGACGCTCGAACACACCATGAGAAAACTGTTATTGATCCCTTTAAATTTCTTAAATGTCGTTTAATTCCGTGCGAAAATCCTCGAAGCATTGATTTAATTCCGGTTACCAAGTGAATCGAGTCTCTGTACGAGGAACCTTGAAATTATTCACGATTTCAGTACCTAGTTCTTCTTGTGTAGGTGGATTAGAACCACATTTGTGATTGGTAACAAGAAATCTCGTTTTTAGAAGTACAGTAAATGTTCGATTAATGCTCGAAACTCGGAACTGCTTTGGAACAGTTATCGTAGAGGGGACACTATTTCTGTAACACTGACTAGCAAACTCGACTTCTACTAGGGGAAAAAGTGGCGTAAGAGAAAGGCCTCCTAACACTTGGTAAATTTATTTCAAGTACTATAAATAATAAAGTGTTAAATTGGATGTTAATTTGGCATAAATTTCAATAATTCCCGAGACCACGTGACAGAAGGCCTTGTTCCTAGACTGCTTTTTCCCCTAGCAGAAGCCGAGTTTGCTTCTGAGGGTACCTTGTGCATTCAACCGATCGATTGATCGGTTCCAAAATTATTTTCCTAGATGATGGTGTCTTCTTTCCTTTCGAATATTCAATGAACAAATGTACCCTTTAATTACGACAGTGATATAAGGGAAAAACTGAAACTAGAAATCGAACTTATCGCTTTATTTGGTGTCACATCACGACTTACATTAATTTATGTGACGCCACTTTCATAATCACTGACACAAATTGAAATGCAAGCAAATCATTGACACAATCTTTATCGATCTCCAGTGCGTTAACCTCTTAAGTGATACTAACACATATGTAACACGTGAATCGCTGTCTTTCAGAGCTTCCACGTTTTCTCGCGACCTTTATCAGCCCGTACCAATGATTAGAAGACTACTTTCATCCTTCAAGTCACAATGACCGCAACTCAAGCATTCCGTGAGGGACACACACCCCCCTGGTTCAAGTTTTCTCGATGATTCGCGTATCACGGGACACTAGAGCGTAACCCGCAAGCGATATCGTCGCTGGAGGAACGTCGTAATAATTGATCAAGTTTGCCAGGCGGGATAAGAGAGGGGGATCCGCTTATAGCTACTCGGTCCGACGACGACGGCGGCTGGTGGCGGCGCTTGTTGAACTATGGAAACCGTTTCAGCCGCCACGGCCTACTTCGGCCAACTTGTTATTTTTAGCATTAGGGTCACAATGGCGTGCAACCGGCCACCACCAGCGCACGCCACACTTCCTTCATTTCCTTCCTTCCTACGATCGCGCAGATCTCCTCAGCAACTAACCGCCTGAAACCTTAGGGACAGGGGGGAGTACCATTTTTTCGAAGAAAAAAGGAAAAGAAACACTATTTTTGCGTGTGTGTCGGTCCCACTTCTCTCACTCGAGGATGACAGTTATTCGATAATTGGGATCCAAGTGAATCGCCGTCTCTGTCCCGTAAATTTCACCCCCTAACCGCTCGCGGCTGCTTCTTGAATTCCTTCTTGTCCGCTTTGGACGTTTTATCCTTACGTCGGGAATATCGTGTTCGAGCCAACCTTTTTGTTCTACGTTTCTATTTTTGAGCGTTTTCGAGGAGGGAAAAATACGCACGATTCCGCTGCGATCTGTTGTGGTTTCAATGGAGGATTTTTTTTGCAGGGAAATTGCAGGGCCTTTTTTCTCAGATACATCAATAATGGGCAATTTTTTTTTTAGGGAACATATGTACTAAATGGATACTAATAAGGAGTTTACTATATTTTGTCAAATTGACAAAAATGCTAGTTACGCCAATGTTCGTACAGAAAATATTTATAAAAATTCGTCGAATATTTCGCAGATTTCCATCATCCTATTAGTGTCTTCGGATACTTCTGGATGATAGTGTATATGCTAATAACATTCCACCCGCAAGCAGCGAGTTTCCCTTCTTTATTCTAACGGAAGATGAACCTGTTCCCTGTTGCAGAGTTATCGAAAGATCGCCCGACAAGTCAGCACACCGGACAGCGCACCTGCAGGCTTGGGCAGTCCACAGACGGGTATAGGGGGACTGCAACAGCACCAGCAACAGACGCAACAACAAACCCAACAAACGATCCATCAACCGGATCCCATGCAGCAGTCCAAGGACAATCTGAATCCCGCGGCGAACCAGCAAACCGGCGCCCTAAGGAACGGAAATCCGCCGCCTCCTGTCGTTTCTATGGTGAGTCTTCTTCTTCTTCCACTTCCTCCAACCTTTCATCAGGATCCCCTCTGCGTGAGATTCACTTGCATATTGATTTATTTGGAGTTACGTAACGCTGCTTACGATCGTTATCCCCCTGGAGCTGCTGATGATTTACAACCGTCGCCGTTTCTTGGCAGAATTTTCGTTCTCTCATAAATGATCGGGTTAATCTATTGTCTGCGACAGACATATCCTTCTTTGTCTTTCATCATTTCCGTCTTTGTCATAGACAAATCTACGGAAAAATATATCCACTAAAATATTTCCTATGGATTATAAAAAAAGATGCATCACTTTGTTCCACTCTGACAATTAAAACAACGTCCTGAAGTCGAATCTTGAAAATACAAATTTTTTATTTAAAGTTCGAAATAAGGTTTCTTTTTATTTCTTTTTATATCAAGGGTTAAAACAAAGTCGAATTTTGGTGAATCTAAGGATAGTGGCACCTATTTCAGATCACGCCTCTCACATCCCTGACAATAAATAAAAAAATTTCATTTAAATTTCGAAATAAGATTTGGTCACAGAGATTCAAAACCCTCAGAAAAATCGCAGTGATTCTGTTGCATTCGGTCGTTGCGCCTGGCACGAGCTCAACTCGAGTTGAAAATCCTTTATGGGATTACAAGCGTCTTGGCCCCCAAGGATTGCATCGATCCCCACGGCCTCCTCCAACTCCTTCTACCTCGGCCCGGTAGTAGTAATCTCTCCGGCCGGTGTATCGGCATGTAACACCACGTAGCACACTTCAGGGAATAAACAGCTCTCCCCGTCTCGACGTCGACGACTCCTTCCCTCCGTTTCGTGTACACACCCGATGTTAAACCCGGGGCCAAAGGACCTTGACCTAGACACCCCGTTCCTCGGCTCATTACTTCAATCTGTCTTCACCCTGCAAGGAAACACGCCTTGCTGCTTGCTTCGCCCGTTCCAGCGTGTCTCGAATACCTCGTGTGGACGATTAACCGGTTACAAATATTGCCAGGTGTTCGATGCAGCAATAAATGATTCACAATTTTTGTTTCTTTGTAGCGTGAAATATTATTGAATTAAAAGTGTCTTTCCTCTAATATAAATTAAACAGGATCGATCATTGATCTTCTATGAAAACGAATACTTATTGATAAACCCAATGGTATGATGCAGGAAATCCTCTGTTGCAAGTTTTTCCAGGAAATCCTCTGTTGCGAGGATTCCACCAGTAAAACCCACGACGGCGCAAAGAAAAATTGACCATCCACAAAAACAAAAAGATTCCTCCCCGTTCACCATTTAACCCAGCTTCAACAAGGATCATCAGACGTATTCGAGCTCTTTCTCTCTCTCCCTCTTTTGTCGCGAAAGAGAAATCTCGAACCGAGGGAGACGAGCCAGGTTGCCACAGCAGCAGGCTTGGTCGTCCAGAGGGAGGAAGGAGGAATGCGGTTCTCCACGTTCGTTTTCGTCCGTGTGCATCCCGTCCCTCCGGGCGCGAGGTTACTGGGCAAACCAGTCTGTGCGCGAGCCACGACGTGTGTTTCCCGCGCGGAACACAGAGAGGATAATCCCGCGGCAGTGAAGCCGCCAAGCGGGTCCCAACGCGGCTCACTCTCCGCGCAGAATATCTCTCTCTCTCCGTTCGCGACTATCGTGGGGGCTACCGCCGTCCCAAGGTCACCTCGTTGAACCCTTGAATTCAATCCGCGAACGGGCCAGCCTTGGCGAAATTTACTGCCCCATTAACGGACGAACGCCTCGTCGTTTATTGGGAAAGGAGGAGGGGAGAAACACGGTTGGGGAATGGAACGTTCACTTGGCATTCGAGGGTTTAACTTGGGGACTTCTCCATCTGTAGGCTTCTTGGCCGGTTTCAGGAATAATTACGTACTCCTTTTTGGGTATTCTAGCCCAGGTGTAGTTGGACAACGACGATTTTTCAAGCATGATTGTTTTTATTCTGTCGATTCTCGATTTTTCGGCATAAGTACTTATGAGGGAGGCACGATAGTGTCCCCCTCTGATTTTGATGAAACTTCGTATGTTTGTTAAGCAGTCAAAAATAAGGGATACGTATTTTTTTTATCGGTTGAGACGCGACTTTAAGGGGTGAAACCACCCCTCGAAGTTTCGATCCGAAATTTTTTTGTTATAAACAAATCATATTTTGGACAATTTTTTAGCACCATATTATTCTACATAAAAAACCGCAAACCTCGTCCATTAAAAGTTTTCATGTATTTCCTCTGGTTTTCAAGATAGTACTTTCAAAGTTGCTTTTCCTAAATTTAAAGTTTGACAAACAAAAGTTAAGTAGTAGTTTCTAAATATTTTTAGAACACCTGAAGTTGTACATTTCCAACCCTCCCACCAGCAACGTGTGAACAGAGTTCAAGAAACGAAAGATTCTAGGTTTATAATAGAATCTCAAGGGTAGCAAAGTTCTTGGGTGCCTGATCTTTCGTATCCTCGGATTAATGTCTCGAGATTAACGCCCCTCGATTCGACGATGTATGTACATTTCCTGCACGTCTCTCCTCGCATTATATTCCAAGGCAGACGTGACTATTACAATATTTCCATTAGCCACGGACGCGGTAGACGGATCGCTAAGGTGGCTTATGCCGCTCGGCCAGCCCCGTAAATTTTACGGCCTGGTTCTGGCGTTCTTTCGCGTGCTTCGCACACACATACAGTCGCAAGGAATTATCATATAGATGGGCTTTGAACAGCTGACCGGGTTAGAATGGTCATCGCAATCAGACGCTTAGGACTCTTCGTCGGTTGAGAAGATGGGACACGTACAACCAAAGAATTCCGATCAAAGCGAACGACGCCTTGTGCCTTTTGGTGGCTAATTCTGATCCGTTAACTTTTTCGTAGCTCAACTAGAGCACGAGACAGATTATTAAAGGAAGAATACCAACATTCCTTTTCATTCAGTTCCTCGTGTTTGGACTGTTAGGGTCCCCTGGCTATCCAAACTCAGCAACCAATTTCTTTCTCTCACCCCGTACACTTTCGTATCCAACATCTCGACGTCAGATCTCGTGTCCCCTTTGATGTTCCCCTAAATGCCCGCGCTTTTGAAGCCACCCGACAAGAAGGACTGGGTAGTCCATCCCCTAGAAGTTTCAAATTAACATCGTACCGATATTATCAAAAACTACTTGGACCTCCTCTCGATTCCACGAGCCCAAGATCCAACATAGTAACCCCTTTGTCTCCGAGTCCACAATTCTAGGCCCACCCTCCTCAGCAGCTACCTCTCTCCGGCTCAGCAATCAAAGGCTCGCAATCATTTTCATATCCGATACAATCTCTACGCTCCTTAAACCGCTCATTAAAAGGGGATAAAGGTAGTATTCTCAAAGTGTTGTCCTTTTTTTCGATCCCTAGTAGATAATAATTCCAACGACCTATAGTACAGGGTCAATCGATAACGGATTAACAGAAAGAAAAAAATCAATTTTTTTAATATATTATCTATCTAAACAAATCATGCTTTGAAAAAATTATTTATCATCCATCCCTCATTTTCCCAAGTTAATGTGTCCTTCGGTGTCAAACTGACACAGTGGTGAGAAATTAATATAACGAAGAGATAAATAGTTGAATTTGCAAAAGTCTAAAATAAAAGTCACGAAGGCTCACTTAAAATTTACCTACACATGACAGAATAACACCATTTCTTAGGAGAAAAATGTGTCGAATTGACACAAGGGACGAATGGAGGTCAATAAAGATACGATTGGTCGTTTATAAGAAAATTGGACGTCCAAAGATTTACCCGTTTCGTCCCACTGTGGGGCGGGCTGTGCCACCCTTGTTCCACCCGGCCCGTCATTCTCCGCCTTCGTCGGCCACCCTCTTTGCTCCTCTTGATACTGCTCCCTTTTCCTAACTCCACCCCTCTCGTTCTCTCTCCCGCGCGCTGCTCCACGGACGTTTCGTCTCACCCTCTCTGTCTCTGTCTCTCTCCCCTTTCTCGTGCCGCCGGGGCCGGTGGTGGTTCCTGTTCCTGCGGGTATTGATTCGCGTTGGCGGCCGGTCACCGCCCCCATAGTCGCTGTCTGCTGGTAGTCTACCCTTGCCCCCGACGTTATGCTGTTATTTCGGCGGCCGAGATCTCATCGCAGCCGTACCCTTGTCACGAGGGAAAAATCCCGCGGAAAACTATCCGATACCGACACCACGGGCAGGGCGGCGACCGCACAGTGCTCTCGGATCACCACAGGGTAAGAACTACCACCGCCACAACCCTCTTGGTCTCTTTTTGTTTTCTTTTCATGGGGATTTAATACGTACTTTGTTCCCCATCTCTAGTTTCCTTTGTTTTGTCTGTATTCTGGGGAGAATTTTTATATTTTCTTGCACCGTTTACTTGGACCGTGGTATACGTTTATTGTTATTCTTTCGAGAGGTATCTGCACGGTAGACTGGGTTTTATTGGGTACGATTGCGTGGACGGAGATGAAATGGTTGTTGGGTCGTTGGTAATGTCGTTGTGCTCTTTTGGAATTTCGGGGTTGTTTAATTTGGTGTCTTATTCTCCTTTATAATTTCAATATTGTTTATGCGAATCATTTGGTAAATTGATTCAGCGTGTTTGGAGTTTATCATGTAGGCATTTTCCATACCTTCAGACATTCGTGGTCACGATTATGATTAATAGTAGTAGGGGAAGGTTGCCGAATTTGGACCGATACTGTAATTCGTCGTGTGTAAGCAATTTCCGCCGTATAATTGACAATATATGTATCATAGACGCAATTTCATTAACTAACTTAGCATATACAAGGAAGGCTTTAAAGGTATGAACCATTGGGAAAATACCCACAATAAATCTTCGATGAGCGTTCGAAGGCTCCTCGGCACTGAACATTAAATATTTCATAAACTAATGGCCATATCCGGCTGAAACAACCACCATTGGCTTCAGAATTCCACGTTCTATCACAGTGTGCTAAACCTCATTAAAAAGTCAGCGTTACACC